TCCTTTTGAAAAGACTGCTCTGTATTTGACAGAGTGAATTTGAAGTCTAGGAATAGATAGTTATTAAGATTACCCTAGTCCCACCTCACCCTTGGAGGAAACCAGCGCTTGCGCTGGGGGATTGGGGACCAAAGCGATTGAGAAGGATGAGCAATCGCGGCCAACGATCAACATTTGCAATCGACTCGAAAGCTCACCTTACTCGGATTAAAGATCGATCCAAGCGATTCAATGATATGACTCTCGAAGGTGATAAATCTCTCACTCCCTCTCGCCAAGAGAGTCCCAACCCATGAAACGATTGCGAAGTCTGATGAATTGATCTTTAGGAAGTGGTTTGGTGAAAATATCGGCCATCTGCTCTTTTGTAGAGACATGCTTGATGATTATGGTTTTCGCCAATATGTGAGAACGAAAATGATGCAGTCGGACAGACAAGTGCTTAGTCCTTGGTCTTGTTCGGTGATTTGTTGCAATCTCGAGGCAGCTGCGATTATCTTCAAAAACAGTGCATACAACCTTTGGGGTATCCATAGATAAGTTGAAACCCAACGAACGTAATTCATTTACCAGATTCATAACAGCAATGACTTCACGTAGAGACGTAGATAATGCAGATAATGCAACCAATGTTTGAAGCTTTGATGCCCAAATAATGGGACATCCAGCGTAGGTAATGATGTATCCTGTTCGAGATCTTGCAGACAAAGGATCAGTTGATGTGCGGTCTTGCCAAGAGCCGGCCCAATCCGCATCGACATAACATTCCAACCCTTTCGTAGGATCTGGCTTGAATCGAAGCCCTTGATGTTGTGTCGAATGCAAGTACCTGCAGATTCTTTTGACTGCAGTACCATGAGACTCTTTTGGATCATTGCAAAATCGAGCACACTGTTGCACTGCCATCGTGAGATCCGGGCGAATCATGGCCTGTAAATAACTAAGGCTGCCAACCACCGATCTGTAGTTCCACGGATAATCATGAGCCTTACCGTCTGGGTCCTTGTCTAATATGTTTGCACTGGAAGCTGGACTGTCGTGAGTTTTGACTTGGTCAGCAGTGAGCCCGACCATTTCTAATATTCGTTGAATCATGCGAGGCTGTTCAAGAAGGATCGATCCGTCGGGTTGTTTTGTGAAACGAGTACCAAGATAGTCTTGCAGTTCCCCATCGTCAGTCAAGTTGTATTGTTCCTGTAGGGATTTGATTTCTTTATTGATCAAAGCTTTGTTTGGGGACATGAGACAGGCATCATCAACGTAGAGTACCAATATGATGTCCTGTTTTGTGTATAAGCAAGAATCAATGCTTGATTGTTGCCATCCGCGATCGATCAATCCCTTGTGGAGAAATTGACCCCATGTTCGTCCCGCGTCTTTGAGTCCATATAAATTCTGCAATAACTTTTACACACTGGTGAATCGGTCGCCTGGCCGAGGCATATCAGGAATCACTGCAGGTGTTGGCTAGCGAAGGACGGACTGATCGGAACGCCCAAGTACGTATGCAAAGAAGGTACAGTAGCAGGACAGTGGAAAGCTACGTACCAAAGAGGTTGTGAAAGAAGTTGGTAAAGGAGCTGCTAGCGAAGGACGGACTGATCGGAACGCCCAAGTACGTATGCAAAGAAGGTACAGTAGCAGGACAGTGGAAAGCTACGTACCAAAGAGGTTGTGAAAGAAGTTGGTAAAGGAGCTGCAGCTCAGTTGCAGCTCATTCCTTTTGAAAAGACTGCTCTGTATTTGACAGAGTGAATTTGAAGTCTAGGAATAGATAGTTATTAAGATTACCCTAGTCCCACCTCACCCTTGGAGGAAACCAGCGCTTGCGCTGGGGGATTGGGGACCAAAGCGATTGAGAAGGATGAGCAATCGCGGCCAACGATCAACATTTGCAATCGACTCGAAAGCTCACCTTACTCGGATTAAAGATCGATCCAAGCGATTCAATGATATGACTCTCGAAGGTGATAAATCTCTCACTCCCTCTCGCCAAGAGAGTCCCAACCCATGAAACGATTGCGAAGTCTGATGAATTGATCTTTAGGAAGTGGTTTGGTGAAAA